GGACTATTTGTCCCCAATGGGGTCTAATGGGCCCCGGTAGGGTCCGTTGCCGCCTAGTAGGGTCTATCGGCACCCAATGGCATCTATTGGCTAGTTTCTTCTAAGGTTGGAAGATTTGAAGGGGCCCCCCTTGCCGGGGCCCTCATCAACCCTCTGATAAAGGGTTTTGGTAGGTTCGTGGGCCTGAACCTAAGCGATGCTTCTGGGGTTGGGGGGGGGGCGAAAGCTGTGAACCCCAAATCCATAAAGCCCAACCCGACTGCCTAGGGTTTAGGGTGTTAGGGTTTAGGGTTTAGGGTTTAGGGAGCAGAAGTTCGCGAGACTTGACATGCTCAGGTTTTAAGGTTTAGGAGGTTGGGGCTTCCGGTGTTGATTTCAGGCAGACTAGTGGGTAGTTCTCTACATTAATGTTCCCTTTTTAGGGTCCCCTTTTACAAGGGTGCCGTGCTATTTTGGAGCCCTTTAAAAAGTACCCTAACTTAGAGCACTACCCTAGTAAACTTCTTGCATCGTGGACAGCACCGAACCGTGAGGAAGACATGGGCTCTCGTAGCGTTGAGTGGCGTTTAGGGTTTAGGGTTTTGCGGCTGCAAACCAGATGCAAACTGAAGAAAAACACGGGGCCCTCGAAAGGGCCCCATCCACTCAACTAGTATCCCGCCTGCACGTCGAAATCGTCCGTGCCCTGGCTCAGGAACACTGGGGGCGTTCGGATTTTGCGTAATTTAGGGTTCGAAAAGGGTATCTTACACTGAAGACTGCATCGACGACTCGACGACAGGAACAGTTCTGATCCAGTGATCGTGCCACGGAACAAGAACAGTTTGCAAGCAGTGGCAGCAGAAGCAGCAGCGGCAAAAACAGCACAGGAACAGGATAGCTGATGTGGTAGTGGTTGTCCTCGTCGTCATCGTCGTGCGCGGTGGTGGCAAGTACCAGACCAGCACTACACAGTACGAGTATGGCCAGACGCAGCATGTACAATCAGTGCTCTCGTGCCATCCTTCGAATGCAAAACATCCCGGATCGACATATGGGTAGTTCTCTTCCTTAGGGTCCCCTGTTTAGGTCCCCATGATAGTACGGCACCCGTATAAAAAGGACCCTCAAAGGGACCCTAATTTAGAGAACTACCCATATCCATGGCACAAACCATGACGCAGTGCGAATGGCGATCTGTTTCAAGCAGGCGAGTTCGGGAACCACAGGGTTCAGTTGTGCACCCTAAGTGCCAGGGAGAAATGCCATGAAGGGCCGCGAAATTTAGCCTCAAAGGTTTAGGGTTTGTTCTTGTAAGATATTGAGACCTAGGTGCAGGGTTCCATTACAAGCAGGTCCTTTCTTTGAAGAACTCCCGACACCTGAAACCCCCATCGCACACAAGCCTTCGGCGCGCTGTCCTGGATCGTGGCCGTCCAAAACCAAACAATTGAAACACAGAGGGTTTGGGGTTCTACACGGATTCTCTGTAAGGATGCCCAAACGATACTGGGTGTATGCTAGTCCTAAGAAGGCAGGATTACCGAAAGTGAGTGAATGAACGACCATGATAACAGTCATGTGCTTGAACACGTCCTGAGGCTCTTTTCTGACGAATACTCTTCTGACCCACGGCAGCCTCTAGCTGGACCAGAATTACTTTCCTAGCGCTTCTGAATGAGTGCAGCGCGCCACGAAGGCTTGCAAGCCCCGGAATCAACGATCCTGAACACTAAGCCCTAGCCTAAACTTAAACCCTGAACAACCCTGAACTACTCTTGGGCAGGTTTGGAATGCATTGAGAGTGCTGGCTACAAACCCAAGAACCCCGAGCAAGCATCGCCACCTGCAACGCTGACACTCCTTAATCCCAGAATCCGAGTTTCGGCAGCGGCTCAAGTACCGCATTTTCGAATCCTCCAAAGATGCGACCCTACGTACCACGCAACCCAGGATCCCAATTCATCTTCCTAAACCTCGGACACTAAGGCTCTAAAGCCTTAACCGCTTTCGATCCAGCCTGCTACTGCCTCTGCTGGGAAGTTGAGGCTCAAAACAAAGCCTCTGAACCGAAATCCCTAAACCCTTAACCCAACCTGTTTGCAGCAAGACTCGTGCAATCGCCTGCCCAACCCCCAACCCTTAACAGACCCGACTGCTGGTATCGACTCCGGTCCTGGCCAGGCACCACAGACGTCTCTGCCCTGCTGGTGTCGGTCTGTGGCGTCTTTTGGCCGCACTTGTGCCTGCAGAACCTCGGGTGCTGAAGCTGGATCGTAGGTTTGGGGTTTGCGGGCTATGTAGGAACCCAATTAAGAAATCCTGGCCCCAGGACCCCAATATGTTAGAATTCATAGTTTGAGCCCTAAGAAAGACCCACGGTTTCTTAAAATCTGGTTCCTACATTAAGCAATACTTCTCGCCCGCCCAGTCCCCTTTAAACCTACACGAGCTTGAGGTAAAGGACAAGATCCTGGCTTGACACACCAGGGGTTTAGGGTTTAGGTTTAGGGTTTAGGATTTAGGGTTTAGTGCTTAGGATTTAACCCTAAACCCTAAACCCTAAGGATTAGTCTTTAGGGGCCTACACCTCGCAACCAAAGAGCGATGCGAGAACCGCAGCACGGAAAAAATAGGGAGCACCGGCTTGCTGCGACAGGAACCCTACCACACTAAACAACCGACATCCGTCCCATGCCCGGAGACCACGAAACAAAGAAAGCGACACCCCACAAGCACTAAACAGCAATTCCCACACTCAATCCTGAATCCCAAACACCATGCTTAGGGGGGAAAGTGATGATCTCACAGTCAGTTTACGCGAAGAGTCCATATTTCTTGCAACTGCAAATCTTTTGAACTTCGAACCCTATCTGAAACCCGGACACTCAAAACTGCTCCGGGTAGGTAGCTGGTGGATTATTATTCTGAATTCAGGGTACGTGTTAGACAGCAGCGCAGTCGTAACATCGAAACCTCCAACCCAGACAACTGTCCTGAACTCGCGCAGTGCCAATGCGAGGTTGCTCAGTGAGGGTTCAGGGGCTCGGCTTTGGGATGTCCCTGAATCACGAACTTCAAGCTTGCCTGAGGACTAAGCACCTTGGGCTTCTGAAAAGATTTTCTGCAGGGGAAATTCCACAGTGGCCAGGTGACACGATCGCACAGAGCACGAGGATGCACAGCGACGAAAGGACAATGGCCACGATGATGAATGGATCCAGGCCCGTTGGACGAACAGGCTCCCTGAGATCGAGCATACAATGGGGGCTTTAATGTTTCCAATTTCAAGAGGATGTGACATAACTTATACTCATATTTGTAACCATTTAGGCCATATGTTACGTTGTAGAGTCAATGTACTTGTTGTGTAGTGCCAGGATGTTGGATTTGAGGTGTCCGGGCATACAGGCTGCCTTAATAAACCAGCAGACTCAGTAGAGCAACATGATCCCATTATAATGACAACAGTATAGTGCGTGTCCCACCTCAAAAGTCGACCAGCCCTTGAACATCAATACCAACGGGCTATGCAGACGAACGGTGCGTATAGCCCTTGTGCCAAGGACCCCAGGACGACCGTTGTCCAGTCCTTACTGCAGACAAAGGACGGCACCGGGATGACGGAGTCATCGGCGAAGATGCTGTTCTCCAAAGATTGGACAACAACGGTCACGTTCGCCTTGGGCTATCAACTTTGGAGAGCCTCTGCGCGAAAGGGTTCGAAAGGAAAATTCCATAATCAAAATCCTCAGGAGCCCTCAACCCGGGAAACTTGGAGAAACTGGGTATCGTTGCCAACCATCCACCCCTCCGAAAGTGGATGGAAGTTTGCGCTGCACGGGTCACCACAAAAAGCACGCCACTCTTCTTAAGCGAAATCCTAACTTCCAAGATCCTGATATAATTACTGCAATCAATGAACATGTTGGACCGATTGAATCACATCATCCACAGGAAGACAAATAGAGTACTGTGTGCAAACATTAATGGAAAACTATCAATCCATCCTGCAGAGCTTTTACCCTTTACCTCACAGTACTGCAAACCCTGAACCCTAAAGCCACTGAGCCACCAGTTCGGGAAACTGCTGCATCTCCTGCGTGAGAAGCGTGGTGGCTTCCTCCATGGAGAGCCTGTTGACCAGCAGATCTTCGACCCTTACTAGTACCTTAAGCTACCAAAACCTACTTTTTTGGTAGGGTCCCTATAAGTTCTATACTAGGGCTTATAAAAAGAACGTACAAAAAAGTAGGTTATGGTAGTTGAAGGTAAGTTACCAGTCCTTCTACCAGCACAGTCACTTATAACGCAGTGCTCCTAGCATTCTCTCCAGCGCGCTGCTAAACCTGTGTCCTTAAACTGCTCTTTTTACACCGAGACTTTTGCCATAGGGCGGCCGAGTACCCTAGTCAGCCTCCAAAAAATTTTAAACTCTCGTCGGATTATATGCGCCTCGACAGTTTAATGGTTACCTACTCAGCCCCTAAGATGCTACGCCCCTAAACCCTTTTTGAGCAGGGACTGCAATGCACTAAGCCCTGAATCCCTTCAGCCAAGCTCCTGACTCCAGCGCTTATGGCAGAGCACGTGAAGCCCCTAAACCCTAAACCCTAAATCCTACACCCGCCAGGTGACTCCGACATGCGCTGCAGTGCGGCTTGCGCCAGTGCCAGGCGCCCACCAATGCCCGGTGGCAACAGTACCGCCTTGATCCGTGTAGTAACAGTAAAAAGAACAATAATAATAACAAGTCGTAGTAATAATCATCATAATAGTAATCAATATGAACAATAATCATTAATTAATAGCAGTAGTATTGGTTTCTAGTTTTTGCTAGAGCAATAGTTAACATAATCCCTTCATCCCGGTTCAGGGCTTAGGGAGACGGTCAATTCTCGCGTTGCCTTACGGGCGTAAACTGTGTGCTTTCAGATTCAAGCCCGGTCAATTGAGGCAAGATTTGCAACGCAGGGCGAATACCTCGTAGCAGCTTGAGCGTGATGGAGATCATGTTGGGCTGGACTGGACCAGACAACGACAAAGCCCCAGATCACTAAGCAACATGCAACGAAATCTTGCGCACCACCCCGAACGCCAGAAATGACACGACTGAACACCTATAGCTTCCAACATCCTCATGTAAATCCGTCGAGCGAAACCGGACCCCAGAACGACTAAAGCCCTGAACCTTCGTCTTCTGGGCCCTGATCAATGGCAAGCACTTCCTGTGTGTCGGGCAAAAGCAATCGAGAGCTGCTCCTGCAAACGCCTCTGGAGGAGGCGTCTGAAGCAGAATTCTTGCTCAGCGTGCATTTAGGGACATGTGGGGTTTGGGGTGGATGTTCAGTCTTCCTGCCTTGGATTTTGCATGTTACTACTCATAAAAGTATCCTGACCACACCTGCTGCTGCTACTGCAAACACCAGCACCAGCACCAGCACCACTGCCACTACTGCAGCCACCAACAAAACCTCGAAACCACCGAACCACTACGTAGTATGAGCATCAACGACCCTCACACTCAAACCCGAAACCCTTTGTTGAACCAGGTCTCTCTGAAGTGCCTCCAAACTGCCCCCAAACCCGAAACACTAAACTTTATAAACCTCTCGAAGCCAGCAGTATTGTCGACCTTCGGTTGTTCTTGAAAACTTCTTTGTGCCCTTACATCCCACATCCCACCCGGACGCCGACTCAAACCCCTTACCTTGCGCTGTATAAGTGCTAGACCCAAGGACTGGCAACCTTAAATGAGGCCGCCGCAAACCCTAGAATTCTACCTGAACTCTAAACCCTAAATCCTTAAACCCTTAACTCTAACCCAATAGAATTAAACAGCTCCCGAAATCGAAAAACTCTAAACCCTTAAACTCAAGCCCTAAAATCTTCAAGACAGTATCCTATTGCAGCCTTGCAATAATCCTTACAGTGGCCCGCGCGAACATCTAGCCCCCCCCCAAAAAAAAAAAAAA